AAATAGGGAAGGGTGGAGGGGTTGAAGGGAGGGCTAGGAATGGGGAAAAAATAAGAACCAAGATGCATCATGTAAAGGTACAAGTTCCCAATGAGAAATGTAATTGTGTTGTATACCTAAAATGTACCAATAAAGGAATTTAAGGAAAAAAATGACCAATAAATACATGAAAGTATTCAACATATATAGCCATTAGGGAACTGCACATTAAAACTGCATTGAGATTTCATCTCACCCTGCTCAGAATGGCTATCATCAAGAATACAAAAAACAGTAAATACTTGTGAGGATCTGAAGAAAAATGAACCTTTCTACCCTATTGATGGAAATGTAAATATAGCCACTATGAATATCAGTATAACTGTACTTCAAATATGTAAATAAAGAACTATGATAGGATCCAGGTATATCACTTCTTGAAAAGAATTACAGTATACAATGTAAATATTCATATATCCATGTTTATTGCAGTGCAATTCACAACAGCTCAGCTATAGATGTCCACTGATGGTTAAATAAAATATATATTACTCAGCTATAAACAATGAAATCACATAATTTGCAAGAAAATCGATGGAACTGGAGATGGTATTCAGTGAAATAAGCCAGACTCAGACAAATATCACATTTTTTTTCATATGTGAAATCTTTAAAAAGAACAATGAAATGAAAGTAGAAGAGAAACTATTAGAGAAGAGAGAGGTTGTAAAGGAGATTGGGGATACAAGAGCAAGGAGGAAATGGTAGGGTAGAAAAAAATCAAAATATTACATGTATATATGAATATGCCAAAATGATATCCATTATTACATATAAGAAGCATGTACTAATAAAAAGGGAGGATTGGTATGCCTTTGGATTTTGGGGACAAGGTCTTAATATGTATTACAGGCTGGCCTTAAACTTCCTATGTACCCCAAAATGATCTCAAGTCTTCTGAGTGAGGAGGATTACAGAGGTGTGCACCAGTACGCTCAGCTGAAATAATCTTACATGAAAAGTCTCAAGAAAAAATTTGATTTGAGGACTATCTCACTCTTTGGTGTTATTAATTCTATTACATATGAATACAGCCAATACTTTTTAGCACATTTGCATTATTTTATTCAACTCTCAAAAACTCCTATTTAATGCCTTGAATAAAATAAAGATATGCCATCATCAAAATTTACTTATTTTGATAAGTTTAGTATGCAAAGAAACTATAACCCATTTTTTCTATTGCTGCATGACTTCATGTGGGGTTCTACAGGTATTCTTACAAGATCAAAAAGCAACTTTATAGTACAATTGGGACCAGAATACTCTAATTTGGTTTCTCAAGCCATTACATTTTGTGCTATACCACAGTGGCAAATGGTTATTAGTGGTGATCGCAATAAAGGGAAAATCAGAGTAAAAAACATTTAATCAAAATCAAACAATTTAAAAGTAATAAACTTTCATGGCCCTCTACCACTGAAATTTTTCCCTTCTTTAGTTGCAAGTGTTTAGTTGATCATATTTTTTCTAACCTGACAGTGAGTTCAAGATGGAATACTAACTTCTACTGTGCAAGATGAAGAAGAAATGAAATTATTAAAGTTTGACAGTGTGATCTCCCCCAAAATACTAAGTGCAAACTGTTCCATTATTGCCCCTATTACTCTTAGATCAATCATCTTTGGATGGAAAATGATCATTTACATAAAATAATATGTAAAAATTGAAACACTTTATTATAAACATTTACAGAATATACAATACTTTCGTATCAGCACTTTTGACAACTTTTAGAATGTATCATCTAAGATTATAGACTAATTTTCCACATTCAGAATTACAAATAAAAAATACTGCACATCGTGTTTAACAAAAAATATCAGTTGAAATTGTTTCATACATTTTCCTTTGAGAAAACCAAGAAACATAAATAAACACACAGCAATAAAAAATACCATCAACACTAAGACAAACCTCAAAAGGAATCTATTCTATAATGCCTGCTCTCCCACAGGCCTGACACTAAATAGATTTCAAGATCAAACAAAATCAGGAGTGTTCAGGGTGGTCTGGCTGTATAGTGCAGTGCTTGGTAATACTCTAATTTAAAATAAATGGATACATAATTCACTATCACAGCACTTTGATGAACAAAGTAGAGACAACCTCATTTACATTTAGGAAAATTATTTTCTTTTGTAAGAAATATTTAATATTTTCAAATTTTTTACAGAATGAAAAGTTATTTGAGGAAAAGGAATACTGAATACTTTTACTTCATTTGGCTTTTTTAAAAATAGAAATTTACTGTCCACAGAGAAAAATTTGAATAAAACAAACTTACTGAAACCAAACTTTCTTATTTCTTCAACTATAAGTCAACAAAATTGAAAAGTGTAAAAACCAAGATTAGACTCATGCCAAAGCACTGGCTCTTTCTGCTCTTTAATAATTTTATTTTCTCATGTACTTTTTATGTTATACTCTTGTATCTCAGTGGCTAAGTTTAGGATTTTTTGTTTGTTTCTTCTCTCAATAAAATTTCACATTTTACCAGAAAAGGAAGGGAGACAGAGAGGGAAGAAGGGGACTAATCTACTTCCCTGGACTACAATCTATCTATTCTTCTTCTCATACGATGCACTTGTTTTGTCAAAAGATTTTTTCTTAACTGATTTCTTCAATTTATCCTTGGGTACACAATACTAAAATTTCAAAATACAAGAGTAGGCTCCCCCAAAATATTGACTCTTGTCTTTTCCTCAATAGTTTTCTCTTATGTTAATTTTCAAAGACTAGATTTAGGCTTTTTTGTTTGTTTCCTCTTTCAATTAAAGTTTTACACACACACACACACACAATTAAGCTTTTCCCAGTCTAGCATTATCTATCACTCCTTTTCTTCACTTGATGCTCCTGTCATTATCTAAATTTATGCCGTTTTCTTTAAATAATCCTTGGATAAACCAAAAGTTCAAAATCCAAGAATTGACTCATCCCAAAGCATTTCCTCTACTGTCCTTTCTTCAACAGATTTCTTTTTCTTTTCCTTGTGCTTATGTTCTTTTTCAGAAGTTACATCATGGCTTTTTTTCTTTTTTTGATGCTTAAGCTTTCCTGAACTGACTCTGATTTTATCCTGTTTCCTTTTGCTTTGTTGCATGTTCTTCTCGTTGTCTAAATCTTTTCCGTAACTCTTTTTCCTTTTATGCTTGGACTGTTCCTTCTCTGGTCTTTCTTTGCCTTTCTCCACATACTGTTGTCTCTTCTGATGTCGCTGTTTATAATCTGCTCGAAGGTCACTAGTATGGTTTTCTAATGAGAAATGCTTGTAAACTTCGCATTCTGTGCTGTATGGGTTAGAGTTATTTTCTTGATGATTAAAGCTCAGGGGTACTGGTTTTTCTGGAAAATCGTCTCTGGTGAGTTGATAGCTTAAAGAATCAAATGTCTGTTTGCTGTCATGACCTGGATGAGGCAACTGGTTTTCTACTACTTGGGAATTACTGTATGGTTTTGTGTGGGTCTGGAAGGTTTCAACTGGAAGTCTTTGCTCAAACATTTTATGTCCGGGTCCACTATCAGACCTTTTCTCATACCTATGAGTTTCCACAGAGGTATTGACTATCTTTCTGAAACAGGAGTTTGGCTCTAAACCTCTGGCTTTCTGCACTTTGATATAAGCATCAAGCTCATCTTGGAAAGAGTCATATGTTCTGTTTGAATGAGCTGATAAGCAATGAGGTAACTGACCATCCACTAGTGAACTATTGTATGGCTGTTGGTAGGTATGGAAAGTCTCACATGAAAAGCTTTGCTCATGTATTTTTTGTCTGGGTCCAGAATCAAACATTTCTCTGTATCCAGAGTCCCCTGAGTTTTCTTTTACTTTTCTAAAACAAGTCTGTGGATCTAGTCCTTTAGCTTTCTGCACTTTGATATAGTCTTCAAGTTCATCTTGGAATGAGTCATATGTCTTCTCTGAATGAGCTGGTAAGCAATGAGGTAACTGGTTTTTCACTGCCTGTGAATTATTGTATGGTCCTGGGTATGTCTGGCAAGTATCAGATGGGAATCTTTGTTCAAATATTTTATTTGTAAGTCTGTAATCAACTACTTCTCTGGACCCATGAGCTTCCAAAGAGTTTTCTTCCATTTTTCTGAAATGAGTCTTGGATTCTTGTTCTCTGTATTTCTTTAGTTTGATGTAATTTGCACATTCATCTTGTGTCTTTGCTAGACTGATAACAAGAGATTCCCTGCAAAGAAAACAGTACAGAGTTTTTTTTATTAGAATATTTTATTTTGAATATTTTCTTTGCTTCCAAAAATATTACTCTAAAAATCAAAATAACAAAAGTCCAAACAAAATTTTAAAAGCCTACTTCATTATAAAATGCATAATAACTTTGTCTGCATTCTTTATTCTGTATTCTGTTCCACTGATCAACATGTCTGAATACATGAAAAACTCATAAAACTTAGATCTCTCAAAATAAAAGACAATAAAATAGGCAATTTAAATTAATAGACACTTCTCAGAAGAAGTACATATGGCCAACAAATGTATGAAAAAATGTTCAACATCTCTGGCCACTAGAGAGATGCAAATCAGTATAACACTGAAATTCTGTCTTGTTCCTCTAATAGTGACTATCATCAAGAACTCAAAAAACAACCAAGGTTGTGGGGAAAAAGGAGTGCTTCTACATGGTTAGTGGGGATGTAAACTACTACCTCCAGTATGGAAATAAGTATGGAGATTTCTCAAAAATCTGAAAATAGGAATTCCGTTTGACCCAGCTATACCTCTTTCGGGAACCTTCCCAAAAGAGGTAAAGACATCATATTCCAGTTATACATGTGTATCCATGTTCTTAGCAGCAAAAATCATAATAGTTCAATTTGAATGTGCCCATCAACAGATTAGTGGATAAAGAAAATAAGATATAAGTCCATTTGTTCAAAAGCTTGGTTCGGTTCTACTATTTCCTGTTGCTTTTTGTCTAGATGATCTGTCTATTTGTGACAGTGGGATAATGAGGTCCCCCACTATAATTGTATTAGTGCTTATTTGGTTTCTCATGTCCCTTAATATTTGTTTTATATAGTTGGGATCATTAGTATTTAGTGCATATATATTTATGATTGTCATCTCTTCCTCTTGGATTGTTCCCTTTACAAGGATGCAGTGACCTTCTCTGTCTCTCTTAATTACTTTTGGTTTGAAATCTACATTGTCTGCAAATAAGATTGCTACCCCTGCTTTTTTCTGGGTTCCTATGGCATGGAGAATTGTTTTCATCCTTTTACTTTTAGTTTATGAATTTCTTTTTGAGTTAGGTATGTTTCTTGTATACAGCATATTGTTGGATTTTGCTTCTTAATCCATTCTGCCAGTCTGTTTCTTTTATTGGTGAGCTGACCATTAACATTGATAGTTATAACTGATATGTATTGACATATCATTGTCATGTTATTTTCCTGTTGTTGGCTTTTATTTATTTTTTCTCCTTCTCCTTTTAATTTCTTGCCTTGCTTGATAGATTTGCTCTGTTGGAGCTCATCAGAATATACATTCTTTTCAGCTGTACATGGGTCATTCTCTAAAATAGACCATATATTAGTTCATAGAACATGGTTAAGTAAATGCAAAGGTACTGAATTTATCCCATGCATATTATCAAACCACAGTGCAATTTAACTGGAGATCAATAGCGTAAGAAAGCACAAGAACTTCACAAACACATGGAAATTGAATAACACTCTCCTGAACAACCAATGGGTCACAGAGGAAATTAAAGACAAAATTAGACAGTTTTTGCAATTAAATGATAATGCCAGTACAACATACGGGAATCTATGGGACACAATGAAAGCAGTTCTATGAGGGAAATTCTTAGCAGTGAATGCCCATATTAGGACAACAGAGAGCATTCAAACAGACAACCTAATGTTGAATCTTAAGCTCCTAGAAAAAGAAGAGGAAGACAAACCCAAAGCTCACACAAGGGAGGAAATTATAAAAATCAGAGCAGAAATCAATGCAATGCAGACTAAGAGAACGATACAAAAAAAATCAACAAATCAAAGAGTTGGTTTTTTTAAAGAATAAATAAAATTTATAAACCCTTAGCCAACCTTATGAAAAAAAGGAAAGAAATGGCTCAAATCCATGCTGTTAAGAATGAAAAAGGTGAAGTCAAAACAGATCCAGCAGAAATCCAGAGGATCATCAATACCTACTTTGAGAACCAGTACTCTAATAAAATGGAAAACACAGAAGAAATGGACAGATTTCTAGATACATACAAATTACCAAAGTTGAATGCAGATAATATAAAAATTCTAAATACCCCAATTACAATCAGTGAAATTCAAAATGTAATTAAAAATTTGCCAACAAACAAAAGCCCAGGCCCAGATGGCTTCATTGCTGAATTCTACAAGATATTTAGAGAAGAACTAATGCCACTACTCTTTAAACTTTTCAATGAAATTGAAAGGGAAGCAATATTTCCAAATTGATTCCTGGAAGCAAGTGTTACTTTGATTTCAAAACCAGGTAAAGACCCAACCAAAAAAAGAGTACTACAGCCCAATCTCCCTAATGAACATAGATGTGAATATCCTCAACAACATACTGGAAAACAGAATTCAGAGGATCTTCAAGAAGATCATATGCCCTGACCAAGTCAGATTTATCCCAGGGATGTAAGGATGGTTCAACATATGCAAATCAATACATGTAATATGCTATATTAACAGAGTCAAGGACAAAAACCATATCAACATCTCAAAAGATGCAGAAAAAAGCATTTGATAAAACTGAACATCTACTCATGATAAAAAAAAAAACCCTGCAGAAAATTGGAATAGAGGGTCTTTATCTCAATGTGATAAAGGCTATCTATGAAAAATCAACAGCCACCATCATACTAAATGGTCAAAAACTTTTCAGACTTCATACTAAAAACAGGAACAAGACAAGGATGTCAACTATCACCACTGCTCTTCAATATAGATTTGGAAACACTGGCCACAGCAATTAGATAAGAGAAAGAAATGAAAGGAGTAAAGATAGGAAACAAAAAAGTTCAACTATCATTTTTTGCTGATGATATGATACTCTACATTGAAGACTCAAAAAAAAACACTCTGCCAAAAGACTTCTAGACTTCATTCACAGATTCAGTACAGTAGCTCGGTACAAGGTAAACACTCAAAAATCAATAGCCTTCTTGTTCACAAATAACAGTCTCACTGAGAGAAAAATTATGGAAACAATCCTTTTTACAGTACATTCCAAAAAAAATGAAATATCTAGGAATCAGTCTAACAAAGGAAGCAAAAGACCTCTACATTGAGAACTACAAAACTGAAAAAAGATATCAAATGGAATATAAGAAAATGGAAAGACATCCCTTATTCCTGGGTAGGAAGAAACAATATATTGAAAATGGCCATACTTCCAAAGCTCCTATACAGATTCAATGCAATCCCGATTGAAATCCCAACAGTATATTTCTAGAGAAAACAATCCAAAAATTCATTTAGAACCAGAAGAGACCTAGAATAGCAAAAGCAATAAGAGGTTACAGAGACAGGCAGGGGGTATTACAACCCCCAACTTGAAACTATACTACAAAGCTACTGTGAGAAAAACAGCATGGTACTGGCAAAAAACAGACCTGAGGACCAGTGGAACAGATTAGAAGATGCAGAAACAGTGCCAGGCACACTCAGCCATCTCATCTTCGACAAAGGAGCCAAACACCCTCACTGGAGGAAAGATAGCCTCTTTAATAAACGGTGCTGGAAAAATTGGGTTTCAATTTGCCAAAGATTAAAACTAGATCTCTTTCTCCCACCATGCACTAAACTAAAATCGAAATGCATGAAAGATCTAAATATTAAAACAGAAACATTAAACCAGCTGGAAGAGAGGTTAGGAAGAACTCTTGAAGACATTGGTGTAGGAAAAGATTTGATGAACAAAACCTCAGTTGCCCATGAACTATCATAAAGAATCAACAAGTAGGATCTCTTCTTATTAAAAAGCTTCTGCACAGCAAGAGAAACCACCAGCACTGTGAAGAGACAACTCACAATATGGGAAAAAGTTTTCACCTGCTGTTCCTCAGACAAAGGCCTACTATCACGAATCTATAAAGAATTTAAAAAGATCAGACCTCCCAAATTTAAAGACCCAATCAGAAAATAGGCATCTGAAATGAACAGACATTTCTCAGACAAAGAAGTAGAAACAGCAAATAAACAAATGAAAAAATGTTCAACATCACTGGTCACTCGAGAGATGCAAATGAATATAACGTTGAGATTCCACCTCACTCCAGAAAGAATGGCTGCTATCATGAAATCAACCAATAAGAAATGCTGGCGGGGCTGTGGGGAAAGAGGAACCCTGCTCCACTGCTGGTGGGAGTGTAGACTAGTGCAACCACTGTGGAAATCAGTATGGACATACCTCAAAGAACTAGGACTGGAAGTCCCATTTGACCCTGCTATTCCCCTTCTGGGATCTTCCCCAAAGAACTAAAAGAATCATACTACAGTGATATATTTGCACCAGTTTTCATAGCAGCACAATTTGTAATAGCTAAAACTTGTAAGCAACCCAAATGCCCATCAACTGGAGACTGGATAAAGAAAATGTGGTTTTTAAAAATAAAGTGGAGTACTACACAGACATAAAAAATGAGAAATTAGAGACATTTATAGCTAAATGGATGCACATTGAGGCAATACTCTTAAGTGAAATAAATAGGATACACATATAAATACTGAATAGTTTTTCTAGTGTGAGAAACTGAAAGTGCAAATAAGGACTAAAGGATATATTAGACAATGTGAAATAGAAAGAAAAGGGGCAATGGGGAAGGAAAAGTGGGAAGAATCGGGGAAAGGAAAGAAGGGAATGGAATTAATATGAGAAAATGAAAAAATGGAAACAAAGTCTTTGTAAATAGGGAAGGATGGAGGGATTGAAGGGCTGATGGTTGGGGAGAAAATAAGAACCAAGAGAGATTATGTAAAAGTGCAAATTTCCAAAGATGAATGACATTATATTGTATACCTAAAATGTACCAATACAATTGATTTTTTAAAAAGCCAACAATGTACTAGCTGTGTAGTTACTTACCTTTCTTAGTATTTCTAATCCCAACTACTTTTAATATTTATATCCTAGTTACCCCATAAATAAATTTGATTAGCTTTTATTAAAATATATATACAACAGCTAAATGACTGTCCTACTATGTGACTTACCCACTTCTCAGTTTTTCACGCAATTCTCCTTCCCTTAAAATAGAACTAAATATTTATTGAGCTCCTATTATGGGCCAGGTCAGGCACTTTACACATATTATTATATTTACTTATAACAATATTATTTCAGAGATGTCCAAATTTACACTTGTTAGAAAGATGGATATAATATTCTGATTCGCATCTAACATCTCGACCTTTCATTTTTTCATATTCTTTTTATTTGTACATGTTTGGAGTACAGGATGTTTACATTTATCTTAAGGCTTTGTTTTTAACCATTATACCTCACTGGCAGAATGATGACTGGATGACTGAAACCTTAGAACTAAGCCAAGCTTCTATAGATGCTTTAAATTTGTATGGTTAGCACAAGAATGATCCTTCAGCATGTCACCAAAGAAGGACTATGCTGTCTGGTCAAGATGAGTAAAAATAAGCTAGCTCTACAGTATATTATCATGACTAGAGAACTCCTTTGGGGACACTGGTGTACAATATGTTACAAAAATCACCAACCATATCTAGGTTCAATCAATAGGAACCGAATACCTACAAAGTTTATAAAGTATATAAAATGATACTTGACTAGAAGCTCTGATATTTGGTATGGGAACAGTCTGCCAAAAAAACCCACAAAAAACAAAACCACTTACTTGATTTGATGTTCTCTTCCTTGCATGTGCAACCAGAACATATCTAAAGACGTAAAGGTGATTCTACAAATACGGCAAACATAGGTTCTCATATTTAATGCTGCAAAAACAGAGTTTAAATTAAGATATTCAGCATGTATATACTGAAAATAACATATTTTATCTGGACTAGTACTTATTAAATATGATTGTCTTGAAATTTTCCAATAAAGAATTGGCCTGGAGAGGTAGAATGATGTAATCAAAGTCAGATAGGCATTTAGTAGTATAGTTAGCTTTTTAGAGTACCCATATCTCTTAATTTAATGCCCAAACTTCTTTACAGCACACTGCTTCCCTATTCATGACATATTCCCTAAGAATCTGCTATCTGCTCGCTAAATGTTGCTAGAGGGAAGTGTAGCAGGTACCTCAAATTTAGCAATGCCCAACCAATCCTTTCACTCAGTCCCTAAATCAGTATCTTGTTTGCCTTTAATTCTTTTCCCATCCAACCAGAATCTGAAATGTCCCAAAGGATTAAAGAAATACAAAAGCAAATTTTTACCTCTTACCTGGAATCAGTATAGTGCGTTAGTTACCAAAAGTAATTTCCAAAGATTTTAAAAAGGAGAAAAGTCCAGTGAGCACCACTAACAAGATAAAAGCTGAAAGCAAAATTCTAAAACAAAACTTCTAGCTACCACTTCAAAATAATCAAGAACTGGCCAGGGATTTAGCTCAGTGGTTCCGGCACCTGCCTCGCAAACGCAAGGTCCCGAGTTCGATCCCTGGTACCAAAAAAAAATAAAAAATAAAAAAAAAATCAAGAACTATAAAATAAGAACTGTGTAATAGCTACCTCACTATTCTCCTTCTTGGTCAGAATTAAAAGCAGGAGATAAATTAATTTTTATTTTCTTAAAATCATCGGCCTTCACTTTTTCTTTGGTCAGAAGAAGCCAATTAATAAGTCAAATATAAAAGTAATTTCACCTTAAAGAGGAGGCAATAAATTGATACTGTAAAGATTTAGGGGACAACCAAAGTCATCTCCTTTTACATCAAACAGCAGACTAATCATTTAAAGGAAGCTAAATTAATCGTTATTAAATGCACGGACCTTGTCTCAGTAAAGATTATTCATGGAAACAAGAGGTTGCTATCAAGGGGACAGATGATGACTTTGAAAGGCATGAGACTCTGTTCATTATTGACATATATTTTAGTTGTGGTACCAGAACAGCTCAGGATAATTCAACATGGCTGAACAGAGGAAGAGTCACGTTGGAACTACTCAGAGAAAATCAACTAAAAAGACAAGTAATTGGAAGAAAGGGAAGGACATACATCCTGATGCCAAAGTCAATCTGAAATAAGAGACTTGTAGATCAAACAATACATAACACAGGACTTCATACAACAGCATACCAGCCCACAGGGCTGCTAGCAGCACTGCCACCTGCATGCTGAGGAGCAAAAATCACCATACTTGGAAGTCTCCAAGAAACTGATGGACTGTAAAAGTGTGGCTAATTCAAGCCACACAGGATAGATTTGTGATATAAGGCACCTTGCTTCTTTTGCCTTCATTCTCCACACAGAAGACACTGCATCCTGGCAGCAAATTTCGCAGGTACACATAGGAGCAAGTGACCAGGAAATTGTTCCATCTCTGACACATGTGCCGTCAGCTTTGTTTTTTCTGCTGTGCACCCTAGTAACTAACTGGAAACCCTAGCAACAACACAGTTAGGGACCACAGCACAGTGAAGGCAGTGAAAGAAGTGAGTGAGGACCAGGGGCTTGAGAGAAAGACTCAGATGCACAGGATTTAAACAGCCTTGGGAGGCCAGCACTCAACCTGCTAGAGAAGAGACTGAAGGTGGAACCGAACAGCCCTGGGCAACAGCAACCCCCCACCTTCAACAAGTGGTGTAACAGGATAGAGATGTGCCAGTGGGGTGGAACAGAGGAGGCTGTGCAAATACCAGGAGGAGCCAACTGTACGCGGGACTGGGAGGAGCCCCGGGCTGTCCCTGCCTGAGGATGCCACAGCAATTGAGAGTGACATATAGTGACATATCGACAATCAAAGTAAGATGTGGATGGGCCATCAAGGGACATCCAGAAAACTGCTGGCTGAAGACTCTGGCCTCAGTTCCCACATACAGAGGACAAGATTAGCCCTGTAATGAGAGCACTAATCCTACTTCAGACTTATTGGAGTTACACAGCACAGTTTTGGGACATTTCCTGCCTTGGACACTACCACAGGACTATGGACACCATAGGAATTTTATGTTTTTCTTTGTTTCACTTTTCTCTTTCTGCGTGGTTGGTGTTTTTTTGTTGTTTATTTGCTTTTTATCTTGTTTAGGCCTTTACCTTTATTTTTATTTTGCTGTATTTATCTTCTTTCTCTCTTTCCTCAACTATTTCTCTTGATTTTATGATATTTTCATGTGAGTGAAAATTGTCTCCTGTCTTCCTGGTCCACTTCGGTATTCTTTTGCTTTATCCTTCATACTTTCTCTCTTCTCCAGTTTCCCAAAGCTTGGATGATCATCCTCTGTCCTCCAGCCTTGCCTCTACTATATTTCCTTTCATTTATCTCTGTTTTGTCCCCTATTCCTCTTAAATTTCACCCTTATAGGGTAAAATCACTCAATTAAGGGGAAACTCATTGCATATAAAGTCCTGGTTTATGTTGGATTTTGTTATATAACTGTAGATCTTGTTCCTACCATTAAAGGTACCAAATTAGTTACCACAGTTTGTCAGTTTCTAGGCTGTGCTTGATGCTATTGTTATTGCTAATTGTACTACTTTAGCCAGGATGTCATACCTATTGTAGTGAGTTGTTCTCCTTTTTATGACAACATTGTGATTGTCTGGGATCATAACTATCATCAAAGTCCAGTTCCAAAGGACTGGGTGATGAGCCAAATAGATAGCAACTTCTCATCCTTAGTGAGTTAAGAAGGTGGATCTTGAGATGTCTATCCCAAAGACCAAAAACAAGATATGCCCAAGAAGACATCTCTGAGGAAAAGACATTTTGTAGGGAAGCCTCTACACTAGTACAAAGGTATTTGCCAAGGGAAATTTACAAGCATCAACACAGAAAACAAAATAAAATTAAAAATAGAAAATGACAAGACACAGAAGCAAAATGCAACCCCAGAACTCCAGCCACCCAAAACAAGTCCAGGGGACAATGAGTTAGAGGAAATCAGAAGCCACCCACTTGAATTTTTTGAAATGATAGTAGCAAGAGTAAAAAAGGAAATGAATGAAGTTACAGAGAAAATAATTTCTCAGGTTAAAAAAAGAAATGACAATCAAAATGAAGGACATGCTCAATGAAACTAGAGTAGACACTGAAAAATAATACAGGACCTTAGTAAAACTTAGAAACCACGAATGCCCAACATAGGAAATAAATGGAATCCATGAAACGGAGTCAAATAAATATCCAGGAGTTTAAAAATTCCATTCAAAGTATATGGAACCGATTGAATGAAGGCAAGGACAGAATATCAGATCAGGAAATAGGATTGTGGTTAGGAACCACAAAAAGAAAGATATCTGAAAAATAGCAAGGGACCATGAAAAATAAATCCAAAAGCTGCAAGATGATGCAAAGAAGATTGATCAGAATTAATGAGAAAGGTGTAGACTGCACAAATGGCATAAAAACTTGCTCACAGAAGTAATGGCAAAAAACTTCCCACATGTGGAAAAAGAATTTGATGTACAAATAAGTGAGCCACACAGAACTCCAATTAGCCATGACCAAAATAAATCTACACCAAGGCATATAATTATGAAGATTTCTGAAATTCAGCACAGAACAGAAATTAAATGCTGACAGAAAAGAAAAAAATTATCTATAAAGGAAAACACATCAGAATCACAGCAGGCTTCTCAACACAACCCTTAAGTCAAAGAGAGCCAAAGAGAGCTAGGAGGAACACTTTCAGGTACTTAAAGAAAACGGCCTTGAACAGAGATTGCTGTACTTTGCAAAACTATCTTTCAAAATTAATGGAGATTTGCTGCAAGGTAAGTTAGGTAGAACTCTTGAAGATATTGGCATAGGAAAAGACTTTATGAACAAAACCTCAATAGCATGGGAACTAGCCCAAAGAATCAACAACTGGGATCTCATCTCATTTTTAAAAAGCTTCTGCACTGCAAGAGAAACCACTAACAGAGCTAAGAGACAACCTGCAGTGTGGGAAAAAAGTTTTACCAGCTGTTCCTCAGACAAAGGTCTACTATCTAGAATATATAAAGAACTCAAAAAAACCCCAAATGCCCCAAATGTGAAAACCCAGTTCAAAAATGGGCATCTGAAGTGAACAGACATTTCTAAGACAAAGAAGTAGAAATAGCAAATAAACATGAAAAAATGTTCAACATCACTGGTCATTCAAGAGATGCAGATGAAAACAAAGCTGAGATTCCACCTCACCCCAGAAAGAATGACTGCTATCAAGAAATGAACCAATAACTAATTTCAGCGGGGCTGTGGGGAGAGAGGAACTCTTCTTCATTTTTGGTGGGAGTGCAGACTGGTGCAACCACTGTGGAAATTAATATGGAGATACTTCAAAAAAACTAACATTAGAGGTCCCATTTGACCCATCTATCCCTCTGCTGGGTATCTTTCCAAAAGAATTAAAAGAATCATATCACAGTGATATATTCACATCCATGTTTATAGCGGCACAGTTTGTAATAGCTAAAACATGGAAACAGCCCAATTGCCCATCAACTGGAGACTGGATAAAGAAGATGTGGGTTTTTTTTTTAATAAAATGGAGTACTACTCAGCCATAAAGAACGAGAAACTAGAGACATTTATAGCTAAATGGATGCACATTGAGGCCATACTCTTAAGTGAAATAAATAGGACACACATGTGTAAATAATGAATAGTTTCTCTGATGTGAAAAAGTAAAAGTGTAAATAAGGTTCAAATGATATAATTGATAATTGAAACAGGAAGAAAAGGTCTAAAGGAGCAGGGAAAGTGAGAAGGGTATGTGGAAAGGAAAGAAGGGGAAAGAAAAAAATATGAGAAAAGGAAAAAATGGAAACAAAGTCTGTAAA